TATTCATAATATAATAATAACGTATTTATGGCCATTTGACAGTGCTCATAAACGAAATGTTCAATTAATTTGACTGTGCGACGGCTGCAATTACATCCGGGGACCCTGAGACCGGGACCCACCGCAAAAGGCGCCGCTGAATGGGGAAAATTGGTGCCTTTAGAATAGCTTTCCCATAAGATATTTGTCTATTCTGTGGGTTGGGTCAAGTGAGAGCTTGGGATTACAAATATTTTGAGCTGAGGATATTTAAAAATAAACCGGAAACCTGAATATAATTTTCATTCCGAAGTATTGAATGGTACTAAAAGTTCTGGAACTACAGTTATTATAATATTATATAATAGCTTTCCCATAAGATATTTTTCTGTTCTGTGGGTTTGGTGAAGAGAGAGCTTGGGACTACAAATATTTAGAATTGTTGATAATCGAAAATGGAACTTTGAGTATGAATATTATTTTCATACCTCAATATTGATTGGTATTATAAGTTCTCGAACTACAATTATTATAAACTGAATATTTTGATTATAAAAGTTATACGTTTTTTCACATCTCGAATGATACTATTCGGGGAGTCTAAAACTAAATAAACTAGAAAACTATAAATATACTGGTTTAAGCTTATAAAGACCCTATTCGAAACTAAAAATATTTCTGATCCTTAAAGACAGATATACTCAGGTACTAAAAAATATATTCCCACTTTACACAGTACTATTTAAGGGGCTTAATTTAAATAAACCATTAGCTAAAAACCTTATTTAAATAATGTTGTTACTTGGAATAAATAACCATATAGGTGATTATTATTATCATTATAACATTTTAGGATTTGTGAGTGTTATTGTTTTTCCAGCGATATAAAGGAACTACCACTGGATCTTTGAGTTGTGCTGCACTTCTGTCAGCAGACCGCAGATAAACTCGTATGCCCCAAAGATACTTTACCAGATACTGCTGCCTCTGCTCATTTTTGGCCAAGTAGGCTTAGAACCATTGATATCCGAATGAGGCGCCCGTGTTGACCAACTCAATTAGCTGGGCATTGAGAGCAGTTAGCAGCTAAGGAGGTGCAAATCGCCGGCCAAACAAAGGCGCAAGCAGCTGAGCAATTAGCAGGCAGCAAATTGTAACCGCTCACGGAGTCCGCTTCCAAAAATCCCAACGCAGAATGCGCCTAACGAAAGACAATCAATTACAATGGGTTAACAAAGCGCGGCTCAAATATTTGGCCAGTGCTAAGCGCCAGCTCGGGGAAAATGCTGAGGAAAGAGTTGAGTTGTTTAGGGGTTGGGGGCAGATACAAAGTCACAAAGATACCGAGATACTCAGATACACAGCCGATCAAATGCGTTGAGTCAACAGAGCATTGACGTCTCGAGTTGAAGGAGATGATGATGCCAGGGCTTAAAGACTCATACTCGGTTTCAGCCTCCCCCAGCCTCAGCCTTTCTGGCCATCCATGTTGGCGTTGACTTCTGCTGAAAATCCAAGCCAAGTGTGTGAGCCGCCCGACCGACCGGGCATTTGAATGTTTGTTTAGGCTGGAGCTGAAGCTGAAACTTGGCAGCCCATAATGTGAGATACTCATGAGATACTCCTCATGCCATTGGTAGCGCCGTGGCGTGGTAAAGATACAAAATACAACAAAAAAAGTGAGGAAAAAACAAGCGGGAGAGCCTGTCTGTTGGCCATAATTGAGTGCACTTTCCACGGAACTCTGGCAGCAGCAGCGATTATGAAATGCCAACAGCTCCAGCTTCAGCCGCAGTTTTACTGACATCTCTGCCGGCAAATGGCGAACATCAGGCGCTCGTAATCGTAACGTTTAAGTACGACTGTTTCGTATTCCCACTTTTCGTAAAGTATCTTTGTATCTTTGTGTTTTCGTATTTTCGTATTTCATTTGCCCATCGGGGAGCGAATCTCGTAAATCAATTGATAAAGCGAAGCGGAAACAAGTGGCGCTGCGATGGGCCAAATAAATCTGCCGTCGCCCATTTCGACGTTTACTAGATGCCTGCATCGCGGCAATTAAGGCGACAAAACTGCAAAATGCACCACCCAAAAAGCGCAATTAGCGATCGAGGGCTGCTGACAATGAGGGATGTGGGGGCTGCAGGGGTGCCAGACACGTGTCCGTAGTCCCCATATCAAAAGGGGCACTACTATTCACTCCAGCATCTTAAGGGGCATCACCACACGGAGAGAAATATCAGGAGATCTTGTGATCATTTTCGAAATCATTTGCACTTCTAAAAAGATTCATTAGAACGAACGTTTACTTAGAAATACAAGTGGGAATACAATACACAAGTTATCGAACATGTTTAAACTTGTCGATTTTACAAAACACATATCGATTAAACATTTGAAATTATAACATTGATTATTATTATATTTCTTGGTATTACAAAGAACATTTAGTTAGAAATACATAAAAATATAAAATTTAACTTTCAAACATTTATATTTTTCTACATATTGCAAAAAATAGTTACTTATAAGTAATTGAAATCCGATTGTCCATATGTATCCATTTCAAGCTTGATATTTTATTACTGATATTTGAAATAAATGTTTGGAAACATATTGTTTTGAAACATTTTGTATAATATATGACTAAGAAAGTAAAGTGTTTAGGCTACCAGAAAAAATTCTATATCGTTTTGATATATTAAGTAGACAAATTTGATCAACATGTATAGAAATGTGCCATAAATGCAATTTCCATTTTAATTGTAATTGAAATTATAATTTTGATTACTTTTTCTCCGTGCAGTTTTGTAGATTGCATTTTGTATTTGTAGTCTGCGTCAAAGGGGCATAAATCACAGGCGGTATGGAAATGGGGATCGGGTTGGGAGGGATGGATGCGCCCACACAGACGACTGACTTATGGAGTCGGCATATGTGTTTTTGTGGCTTTTTAATAGCTCGCTCGATGGATCGCATCGTCGCTCCCCCAAACTCCGTCTTTATATGCATATGCCTCAGCATCCCCCAACTAAATACCCCGTACATTGTATGCGCAATTGAAATTCCATTCCTTGAGCTGTCTGAAAGTGAAATTTAGTGTGTCACTTGGCAATTTCTGCTAATTAGAAGTGTTGAAAGTGTTTGCTTTGATATCGAACCAAACAAAACAACCGCCGTTAAAAGACAGACTTTGCGGAGCACCCTGTCAGAATGAAATATAATAATAGGATATTATAATATCTCGAATCTAGTTGACATTTGGTGACCCCGACATGCATTGATGATATCTCAATAGCCACCTTTGGTAATCGATCGATGGGGTATATAATTTGCCTTCGTTTTGTTGGCTAAAGTATTAGACTGAAATTACTAACACATTGCACACGCTAGGTTGCAGGTAATCAATTACTGGTGACCCCATCGTTACAAAATTGATAGAGTCGTGCGGCAGTAACAATCAAATCGATGAATCAATACTGTTATTGGAAGTGATTCATTAGAAGTAAATGGTACATTAAGGCACGATTTAATTTAAATGGTGCAACGTATAATTGTTTCTTTAAAAATATATCAAAAATTAGAGGATTCCACATTAACAAGGGAGATTTTAGTATTATGTTAAAGGAAAAGTTGTGGCCATCTAAAGACTGGGATTGAAAATCATATTAACTCTTTAGAGTTTCGTTTTCTGATTATCAAAATAAACAATATGGGATTATTTCTTTGGTGATATAAAATGTTTACGTTAGTATTTTTGGGTTTATATTTTTTTACATTTGTAGAGTGACCAAAATGTAATGCTTAATTAAAGCTTTTTATTTTTTTCTTACTAGGGCTTCAAAACATTTGTTATTAAAAAGATATATTAGTATTCTTTGTATCTGATAACAATATAAAAACTTAAAGGCACACCATTTCTAAAGGCATCTGGGGAAAATGGTATCTGGAAGACGACTTTCACCTAATACGATTACAGATACGAAGAGATATTATCTTACATGAAGCGTTAGTTGAGTAAGGAAAAGTAAAGATACAAATTTATATAAAGGCTTAAGGCGATGTTTCACTCCGTCGAGATATACCCGGCCAACCAATAGAGTGCCTAATAAAAAAGTTTACTTTATTTCCGCTTCCATTTAATTCGATTTGCAGATACAAACCGACCGACAGATACAAACGGACATACAGACAGATGGCGAGACAGATTGCGGCGGTGTTTGTGTGTATTGCTAATGGGCAAATTGTCTAATTGGTTCATTACGTGCACAAATGGATTTGCGCCTCTATAATTCGGGCGATTTGAATCCGCCTTGGCCGCAGTCAAAGCCAAAGCCCCTCGAGACATGCGAACGGATTTGAGCCCCGAGCCGTGCAATTAGCGTTTGGCATCAATTCATATTCGTTTTATTCACTTCACTACTCGTTTATGATCTTATATATACTCGTTTACTCGACTGCAGTGCACATCATCGCTTGCCAGTAAATGTCAGCTGCCCATCTCGCCCCCAACCCTAAATTTGCATTGCAATTCGCGTTTGCATTTATTTTCAGCAAATTAACGCCGCTCGCCGCGAGATCTGTGCCAATAAATCATTTGATGCCAACTTGCGGCTGCTCCCTGCTGGTTTTTGATTTTTATTTTTATTATTTGTGTTGTCTTCTGTCTCGTCACAGATATTTGTTTATAGTTCTCGCGGATTTGCCTTTAATTAAACGGAATGGAATCGAAGAAGCCTAAGATGCTCGGCAAAGGCCCCCGACTTTGATTCGGAATGTGATTGTGCAATTAGCGGCACCCTCGCCCGACGACAAGTGTTCGTGATTTAATGCTCTGCGGCCTTTGATGTGACAGTCTACAAAAGAAGGGGTGAAAAACAAAGGATCTCTAGATGTAATACCACCTATTAACGATTAACCCACATGGTATAGGGTAACTGGGTGGTATTTCCCGTTTTATCTTTTGAGATACCTTTGCCTTAGAATAAAAACCACTTTTGATTTTTTAATTTTTTCCATTATTGTTTTTATTTCTTTTTTACTTTTTCTTTTTTCGAACTTTTGCTTTAGCACAAACATTTCATCGTCATTTTCTTAGGTGCATTCATCAGCTACTAGTTGCTCGTTAACATTTCGCTTACTAACTAAAAATACTCATTCATAGCAATCCTTATGTGTGTAAACTAGGAATTAAGCTAGGGAACTGTTAAGTTACTTAATTTACAAAGTGGTTCGTAAGCACATAATTTATAGAGAATAATAACTATAGATAGTTTTGTGTAGGAATAAACGTCTGAAAGTCGAAGCTTTTTTTTTTGTAAAGAGTGCGGCGATAGCGACAAGCCTTTTGTGTTCGGGGGATTACGAGTTGGGTGAATACGGCATAATACTTTCGGCTAGCCAAGGGTGGTTAAATAAATACGCCAACAACTTACAGCTCGAATTCGCTACGGATAGATCTTACGCTTAGCTAGGGTTATACGATAATATATACAGAAAAAACATATGTACGCTACAATTATATCACATGAAAAACCATTTGTACGCCCTCGAATATTGCACGCCCCCGTTTAGAAGGATGGAGCTCCTTGAGAACCAGCGGATGCCGCTTAGGGGATCTGCCCGTTCATGCGCATCTCGAGCTCCTCCTCCTCCTTGGTCAGCGGCACGGTGGTGTGGTTGTACAATCCCTGGGCCATCAGCTGCAGGGCCAGCGGATTCTTGGAGCCCGTCGACTTCTTGATCTTGGCCCGCTTGTTCTGGAACCAGATCTTGATCTGGGCCTCATTTAGGCCCAGTTCGCCGCTCAGCTGCTGGCGTCTCCGCTCGGTCAGATAGCGATTCTCGTTGAACTCCCGCTGTAAGTGAAAGAGAGGAGTTCTGGATGAGTTTCGGATATCTAGCCAGGTAGGGAAAATCAATTATTTGCGGTTTCGCGGGCGTGTCTAATTGGTTAAGTACGGACAGGATGCGGTGGCCAGGATGCCAGGATACATTAACAGCGGGCGGTGACAATATTTTGGTGCAAATATGACACAACACACGGTTGGGTTGGGATATGGTATATGGGATATGGTATAAAGGATATGGAATAAAGGATATGGTATAAAGGATATGGTAAAGGGGATATTGTATGTTTAGTTAGGTATATGGAATATGGTAGTTAGGATGTGGTATAAGTGGTATGGTAAATGGGATATGGTAATTGGGATATGTAATGTGGAGTATGATATGTGGAATATGGTAATTAGGATATATGGTACACAGGATATGGTGATGGTATATAAGATATGGTATATGGAATATGGTAGTTGGGATACGGCATGTGGAGTATGGTATTTGGGATATGGCATGTGGAGTATGGTACATGGGATATGGTAATTGGGATATGGTGCATGTGATTTGGTATAGCTACATGGGATATGGTATGTGGGATGTGTTATATGGTATATCGAAAAGAATCTCACCTTGAGGCGGGCCAACTGCTCGCTGGAGAAGGCGGTGCGTGGTCGCTTCTCGTCGTTGGTCTTATCCTTTGGCTGTTTGGGGCGGCGGTAGCGGGGTCCTGGAATACATCAAAATAGAGAACACAGAAAATACGTTAGTTCTATTTGCATAAATGCGGCACACACTATTAATAATATTAATGATTTAATTAGCATATGTCTGGGCGGAATTCCTCAGCTCGCGCTCCCCTTCGCGTGCTGGCGGGGAAGTGTTCAATTTGTCAGCTGTCAGCGGAATGGAAGAAGAACTCCGACTCTAACGAACCCAAAGGTCGCATATTTTAGGCAAATGGCTTCCTAGGCCAGCTCTCTAATTAGCCGACCAGGTCTAAGTCACTGGCTAATTGGCAAGTGGAGGAGACCCCGGGAACCGAAGTGCCCATTAGATTTCCACACATTGTAAATTATAATTTAATTGACCGGCAGTAAGTGGAGATCGTTTGATTAATTCCCAGCCGCGGAGTGGGGCTATCAACGCCTCGCTTATGGGCTGCCATCGATTGCATCGACACCAAATTAAAAAACCATTGCCGGCCATAAAAAAGCACTTAACTCGTCAATTAACACACGGTCTAAGAAGTGCTATAAGGAAAATCTCCGAGTGGAGGAGAAGAGTTTTCCTTTCGGCTGACGGGATTTCCCCCTACACATCTTCCCCCTACACTTTCTCCATCAATCGTCAGCGCGTTTTAGGGTCGCTGCTTCTGCTTGGCGTGTGTGCGTGACTGGTGACCTTCGACCCGAGGATCTAACAGTTCCGATAGGCGAACGCTGCCTGCGCGCTACATGTTGTCACATAAAGTGTCGCTCTTCAAACGGAGCGCAGCACTGCGTGAGGCCCAAAATCGGATTCGGATTTGGATAGGGAATGGTTATAGAAATGGGAGTCCGAATCGGGCTCATTGCCATTGTCCGCGTGTCGCCTAATTGTGGCAGTGTCCTTGGGATTTATGACACAAAACAGAGCTGCTTGAAAGGCTGCCGCCACAATTGCGCTCCCCAAGGGTGGTCCTGGTCCCCAGTAACCATATACCATTTTCGTGTGTCATGTAGCATAATATGTTAAGGAGTTTTTTAGGCCGAACCCTTGGGTGTATCTTGTTTTGACAACTTTAAAGGCAACTCATATCGGTAGAAATGAGCAATTCTAATATTTCTAATTTTTGGAAAATGGTTAAGACTTAGATCATAGCCATCTTGCTACTCCCAAATCCTAACTTATCTTAAGAATACTAACCTGAGCTGGGACGATCGCTATAGCGGGTGCAGTACACCCAGGCGGGCCACATCTCGTTCTTGCCGCCCTCGGTGGTGGTGGATCCCGTCTCGGATCGCGTGTCATCGGAGGACTCCATGCCGGAATCTCGGCTGACAGCGGATGGCGGAGGAATGGGCTGCGGCTGGGGACTGCTGGCATTGACCCCCGATCCACTGGCTCCCAGTCGGCTGCTGGGCGAGGAGTTCAGCGAGCTTGCCGCCGAGGAGCAACCCGACGAGGAGGAGCTCGAACTGGTGGCCATCGAGGAGGTGCTGCTGATGGTGCTGGCATTGGAGGCGGGTGGCGGACTGGCCAGGCTGCTGGCACTGCTGCTCAAAGGGGGTTGCGTCATCGAGGGGGCCGCAGGCTGTCCAATCTGGGAGACCGCCTTGCAGAGGGAGCCCAGGGCGGACTTCTCGGGATTGGCATCGCTCATCTTGGAGCTCATGGGCGGCGGGATGACGGCATTGGCTGCATTGCGGCGCAGGCGACTCTGCACGATCTCCTCATGGATCCTGGGATAGGCGGCGGGATTGAAGCAGTTGAGGAAGTTGGCCCGCTCCAGCATCATGGCGGCGGTTGCCGCTGCAGCGGCGGCCTGCTGCTGCCGGCTGAACTCCAGCAGATCCACTCGGGTGAAGGCGGAGGGCGTGGCTGTCTGCGAACGATTCGCCTCGAAGGGCCGGAAAATGTTGGCTTGATTTTCCATAGGCTTTCCCGCCTTTGGGACATCACCAAAGCGATCGCTCAGGATGTTGGAGATCGAGAAGGCCAGCGAGGGCTTGGCCGTCGACTGCTGCTGGTGGGCGGGCGGTGGCAGGCGTCCCCCCGCCGACGTGTCGTCCACATCCACATCGATGTCGTCCTCCTCCTCCGCCTCCTCCTCCTCGTTGGTGGTGTGCGTCTGGTTGTGGAAGCTCAGGTCCCCGATGACGGAGTCGCTCTCCTCCTCCTTGATGGTCAGCGGTGTGGAGGAGGCGGGCGTGGAGCACGAAGCGGGCGAACCGCTGCCACTCAGGCGCTGCTGCAGTGCAGCAGCATGGGCGGCGTGGGCGGCAGCTGCTGCAGCAGCGGCGGCTGCGGCGGCCGCATCAAAGGCCATGGCCGGATGGTGAAAGACACCGGCGGCCAGTTGTTGTTGATGCAACTGCTGCAGTTGCTGCAGCTGGTGGAGATGCTGCATTTGCTGCTGTTGCTGCTGCTGCTGCTGTTGCTGGTGGTGGTGGTGGAGATGCTGCATTTGTAGGGTAACGGGACTGGGCGCTGACTGTGGACTGCAGCGATCCTCCAGGGCCATTGGTCTATCTATGGGTTACCACTTGGCTGGGTCACCAGAATATACAAGACAAAAGACACAAGACACTTGTCACTGGGTCACTTGACACTGGGCCACTGATTCTTGCGATTGAGATTCAGTTTGAAATTCTTTCAGCTTTCGTGTTTGATTTTCGGCTGTTGTTCCGACACGCACGTCTGTTCACATCGAGCGCAACGACTGAATTAGTTGACTACTTCGGAATCGCAGCGTCGACGTCGGGGAGAGTTAACGCGAGAGCCGATTGAACTGTCACGGGCGAAAGAGAGGTCCGAGTGTGAGGCAGCGTGAGCGAGAGGGCGCACCGAGGCGCAAGTGTGTGCGAGGGAGCGAGCAGGCGAGTGAGTGACAGCCGCTTGGTGACAGTGACGTGAGGAGATGAGAGTGGAAGATGTTCCTGTGCCTGTGCCTTCTGCTTGCACTGATCGATTTTCGCTCTCTCTTAGCCTTGTCACCTGCCCAGTGCGAACCGGTTTCGCTGGCTCCCTCACTCCTGTTACCTCGTCCGCTCTCTCTCACTCCCTCTCCCTCTCTCCATCACTCCATCTCTCTCTCACTCACTCTCTCCTGGCAATTTGGCGAGGGGGGCTTGTTAGGCGGCAATATGACTTTATTATGCGCATGCTGGAGCTGTCAGTCGGTTGACAACTGTGTCCCCAGCGAACTGCGCAGGCGCAAGCTCTCCCTCTCTCTCGCGGGGCGTTACCCACTGGGGGCTGTATGGCTGCACCGCTCACTCTCATGAAAAGTAAGCCAGGAAAATGGCTGCCTTTCCACGAGGGGGAGAGCGTAGTGCCATCTCTTTCCCCGGACACTTTTCATAAGCATTTAGTTTTTGTTGATTTTGTTTTTGGCCGCGACGTTTCAATCTGCGTTTTCTACAGCCTACAACTTTATCGACACCACCTTTAAGCCAAGTGAAGAGGGGGTATAAAAGAGAGAGAGAGAGGTAGAGAGTATGGGAAAACCGCAAAGCTAATTGTTTTAATTTAAATATTGGGTGGGGGTCAGACTTTTCATCACCCCCACCCCCTCTAGAATCATTTGTGATTTTTCACAAAAACATGCTAAATACGCCGTGACAATTTATTTCACTGGCCCTCCAATTAACCAGTTAAATGTGCCTTGAAAAACAGCTGACGCAACTGATTGATATTTAATTGACTTTTAAGTTATTTATTTGCCCATCGAATATCGATTTGGCAGACAAACGAAAATAAAAAAACCATCGCTAACTGTCAAAATAAACGTCAGAAGGTGTTAAAAACGAACGCCATTTGGCATTGGACATTAACAATAGATCGGTTTTTTTTGGGGGGGCTCTAATCAAACGACGATCTACAAAATGTGAAACATGTGCTGCAAATAGTGTGGCGATGAGGGAATCCGAACATATAGCCACTGATATATGGCACATAAATCAACGAATCTGTTCGGGCCGAATAAAACCGAAATCAAATAACGAAAACGCTAATGAATTGCCTGCTGGCCAGTGGTATTTGTTGTGTTAATTTTTGCATAATAAAGGCGATCGTTGTCATGTGGGCTACTGATTTATGGGCCAAAGGATTTAATTAGAGAGTAATCTGGTCACCACTCCCACCCATTTCCTGTTGCCAATTGTGTCATAAGCCCGTATTGCCGCCAATAAACTAACGCCCAGACAATAAGCCATAATCCATATTTAGAGCACATTTTGTGGCTAACCTGTTCCACAATCAATGGACTGAAATTTATGCAATTTTTATGCGCATTTTTATTAGTATCAAATGGACTTGGATCGAATATAAATTAATAAATATTTTAATAGCGCATATCGATGAATTGAAATGCCGTTGAGAGGGCCTAACCGTTTCGCTTCGGTCTTAACCGGTTCGAACGCACCTTCCAGTCTGCGGTCAGCCATTAAAAGTCGAAGTTGGAAAACCTGGAAACTGGAACTTGGCTCGCTCTCTTTCCCCTTCGAATTTCGAACTCGGCGCAGACAGTTGTCCCGCTCGCTCTATGGCTGGCCTCTCACTCACTCCACCCTGCTCTCTCACGCATGACAACAATGGCTGCTGCCTCTCTCTCGCACTGCCCCCCTCTGCGGGATTCCCTCTCCCTCTCAACCACTGCGTTGCTGCCGTCGGCAGCTGTTGATTTTTCCGCTCAACTTCCACCCTTCCAAGCCATTCCACACTTTCCGCTTTGATTGCCATGATTTTCAATTATTACCGTTGTCGTGTTTGCTCAGCGTTTGGCCGCAAAAAGGGTTAAACTGCGCCGACAGTTGCGTAAAAATGCGTTAATTAAAGTTTTCAACTTGTTTCTGATGCTGCTTTCCCGTTTGCCCTTAATGATAATGATGCGTCTGTTTGGATAAAATGGTAACTGCTAATGAGCTTTGCCTTTCCACCACTTCGGCTACTGTTTCTGTTTAGGTTTCTATTTATATATCTTTTTCGGTTACTTTTCGACCTCTAATGACTTTTTCTCAGCTTCGTTGCTGCCGGCCAAACAAAAGACTCGAACAACGAACTTGTCAGAGTGCCAAAACTCACCGAAAAACACATTACGATATGTGGATATTATTATTTCTATATCATTTGCATATTTATTTAATTTATGGGGCTGCGATCTTATCAATTTGATTTGAAATATTGACAGTAAGGAATGGAGAAATATTCCATACAGTATTTTAAAAAATTCTGTCAGTATGAAATGATTTAAATATTATATGATGAGATTATATGATTAAATATTGTATTATGTAGCACACATTTTTAAATTTATAAAATGAGGATATATGATATGTGGATATTATTATTTCTATACCATTTGCATTTTTATTTATGTGGCTACGATCTTATCAATGTGATTTAAAATATTGACAGTTAATAAGGAAAAATATTCCATACAGTATTTTAAAAAATTCTATCAGTGTGAAAGGCTTTAAATATTATTAATAAAATATTTTCATAAGCATGTAGCACATGAGAAAATGAGAAAACAAGTCCTTAAACCCTGTAAAAAGAAAAAGGCGATATGAAAGTTGTGGCATAAGTAAACACCAATTTATTGTAATATTTCCGATATATTATCATCTCGAAATGGCATGTTAATAAAATCACAGTTGCATAAGGGACTTAATCACGGGCTACAACTCAATTGTCAAAGTGGAATGGAAATTAAAACTGGATCGAAAACTGGTCGAAATTAAACGATCGCCTTGTAGGGCTCCAACTCAAGACCCCCATCCCAACAATTTCTCTTCGCCTTAACAACAGCAAAACTGGTAATGGGAACTGAAAACGGGAAACTGAAACTGAAACTGAGGCTGGGTAATTTAAAATTCATATTTTACGCAGCCAAATGCGTAAATCCCTCCGCTGTGCTGAGTGCCGGCGAGTGGCGATCGGGAGTTATTAATGGCCACACATGCGAGTCATAATATACTCGTACTCACACACGAATCCCACTTTTTTTCTTTTTTTGCCCCACTCCCCTCGGGACAAATGAGCAGTCCGTCCGCCCGTCATTTGCATACCCTACCATTTTGTAGAGGAGCTCTCCTTCTGGGAACTATTCCGATATAGAGTTACCACTCGTAATTGGAACCGACGATCTGCGGCAGTGATATGCCGAAAGTAACGCTGGAATTAATGGGGAAAGTGCGCCACTTAGGAAGATAAAAGGTTCCCGGGTGATATTCGATATGGTCAGCATGATTTATTTTGGGTGCACACTAGTTATCTTGATAGAGATTTTGGTTTGAATTATTATTTCTGCCCTTGGTGGTGATTTATTAGTTAATATTAGGTGAGCATCAGCGGAAGTTTTGTTTTCAAAAGAGGTTTTCTTGGAAGATAAACTTTAGAACCTTTAAAACTGTCAGAAAATAAATATCTCAGGCATTACCATTTATTTTTAGGACTTTATTTTTCATTAAAAAAATATAGTGAATAATTTTAAAATATTCTTCTCATTTTTAGAAAACGTTATCAAATATTGTATGTCAATAAATTAGTGGAGATTTTTTTAAAGTAAATTTAGTGGGTATTTTTAATTAACCTGTAGAAAGTGTGTGGCGTAGTTCGGTTCATTGGTTTTCCCTCCCAGCTTTCTGTGCTGGCTTTAATTAAAATTTAACTCTGTTCGTAAATCGTTTGTCAGTTGGCTGGCTGCCTTCGCTTCACTTTGGGCCAACTCCCATCACTTCCACCTCCTGTTGACCCAACCTGTTCCCCCTTTTCCCGCCCCGCCCCTTTAAGCTTAATACGCACAATGCCTCAGGCTTTAAAACAATTTTTAATTTGTTAAAAATACATATTTTTTAAGGTTGCTGTTCATCCGTTGAGTTGTCGCCTTCGGTTGTTTTTATCATGGCTGTTGTTGTGTTCGCTGTATTTCGTTTAGGGTTAAATGTTAATGAACTTGTTGATTATAAATTTGACTACTTTATTTGCCCAGGGAAAATAGCCAGCTAATAGATCGGACCGATTGGCAAAAGACAACAAAACGAGTTTCATATTTATTGCTATTTCGCTGCTTGCTGTTTGGCGATTTTTATTAATTTTATTAAGTTGGATGGAATTTCACAAGCCCAGAATCTGAAAGCTTAAAAGATGCGAGAGTCGTAAGAATTTTTTATGACTTCATCTGCCCGGATTTTGGAAGCATCTTTAACTCGTTTTCAATCAATTAACCCACTCACTTTTGTTGGCTAATTTCCGCTGCAAGTTGCCGGCAAAGCTGTAATTTGTTTAATTTGCCACTCGCCGCAAATTGTTTTCCCAGCTAATTTGTCAGTTTTAGCCAAGCTTGTTAGCCGCTTTCTGCCATTTGCCATTGATGTTTGCTCTTCTCCTTTGGGCGCTAAATGGTCTTGAGTGTTTAATATCTTATTTTAATGCTTAAATGGCCATTAACTTTGTTAGTTTGTGGTTTGTAGTTTCGCCTTGGTTGTTTTTTTAGTGGAATTTTCACTTGGCAGAGTGAAAGTGGCTGAAATAATTGCCTTCGATTGCAATCTTAGGCCTTTGTTGGTGTCCCAAATCCCTTGTTCGACGCCCACTTAATCGACGGGATTTTCCAGGAAATCTGGCTAAACAAAATTGCATAAGCCAAGGAACAAGAGTTTGAGCGACTTAAGACACCTTTGTGTGTTTTTGTGTGCGGTTAATCCAATAAAA